CACAGCTCTTTTTCCCCATTGGAGTCCATTAATTTTTAAATGACCGTTAACTAAAGGGGGTTTCAGCATTCGGGCCTAAGCATTCAGAAGCAGAACAATTCCCCTTTGGCATAGATGAGAATGGGCAGTTCCAGGAAATCAACGCTCTACCCATCTCCCTTGCAGCAAGAACATTCGAATCATCTCAAGACCAGTCTGAACATAGAAATGGAAATGGTTGCATGGGCGCAAATGCCCAAGAGAATCCCACAATTCCTGCCGATTCTTGCGAGTCCCCTGGAGGATACGAAGGGAAAGGAAGATTCCTGAGGGCCGTACTCACAAATGGGTTAGAGTTATTTTTTCTAAAAAGGTTGACCTCGTCAAAATGTGGTATTCTGAGATCTTGCTCGAGTCTAGTCAGAATCCACTTTCATTGATCGCTTGAGGATTTCTGTCTCCTAATCGTCAACGAAGCAATGGAATCCTCCTACATGCCTCTGATCAGAAGTTAAAAAACATACTTCTCGATGAAGAAACCAGCGCCGACTCCCAGACCAGGGTTTCTGGTCCTCTCACACCTGATCTGTCAAAATGCCCAAGTGTTCATTCTGTCCACTGCCATTCTGTCCACTTTCTCTAGTTTTCTGTTCAGAAATAACATTCTCGCTCCGCATTGTATGATGGTAACCTGACAGCTAATCAAGAGTGATATATCCTTACCTGCCAAACAACAAGCAAGCCAACATAGAAAATATAGTATTTCGAATTTGTCCATGTGTTCTCGTTGCCCCCCTTTCACCCCTTTTCGCCCCTTTTGTACCAGCCCCTTCACCTTGGCTCGGCACTTTCTCCGCCCAGACTTGCCTTAAAAGGTGGAGGTCTCCGGATATTCGGGGCATTCGCTCGGTACCTCTTGACGGTGCCGTCCACGCCCGCGGATTGAAAATTTCGCAACGGAGCCATTCACGCCTGCCGACCCTCCACTTCTCGGCAGAGCGGCTCGAGTCTCCCCTCACGTCCACACAACAGCTCTCCAATCATTTCCCCAAATCCTGGTGACCTCCACTCGGAGGATGATATCGTGATTAAATGAGGCTCAGTTAGACTTAGTTAGGCTTAGTTAGTTATTAGTTATACCTTGTCTTTCATTTCCCAATACGCAAGACCTTGTTCACGCAAGCCTTCGCTCATTCACGTCACCCTACCTCAGCAGCGCACGGACAGCCAACCACGTGACACATGTACATAAAAAACTTTTCGTTTTGAGTTTCTACAGTACCTGTTAGTGAATAAAAAGCAATGACCTAGGAGCCAACACACCACCAGAGCAAGGACAAGGGGTGACATGCAGCAGATCCGTTTAACTTGAAACGGATCTGATTTCATAATAATGAGTCATTTCAGGCGTCTAAAGGAATACGATTATCACCGATTCCCATAGGAGACCATTATGAAATCAGGCTAGTTTATGTTTAACCGATCTGCTGCGTGTCACCACGAGACGGTTTTTGGTTCCCATATCTATCGTCTTTTATTCTTGCAATAACAAAATATATTAATGGTGGGGGAGATCACAGTCACAATCAAAAGGGAAAAAACGCATAAATGTATGACTCAGAGGTTCAAGTAATATCGTTCGTCTCTGCTACTGGCTTTGGCAAGGCCAAGTTTTCGCTTGATGGCAAGCATTCTCTTAACGCCTTAACGAGTTCTGTCAAACTGGCATTCTGGCACTATGATCCATTTTCCCATATTCTGGCCCATACTCATATCTAACCAAAAAAAAAAAAATTAATCATTTGTCACCCCTTCCACACCAATCAGGTCGAGATCTGGATGAACTTAGGTACCGAAATAGGCCAAACACGCATAGGTGTGATGGGTCGGTGACGTCACGAACCCTGCCCGAGCAGGCCCAGGCCTAATTTAAGGGTCTAGCCAGAATTGGGCCTGTAAGCTTTGGATGCATTGCTGGTAGGTTTGCAATCAACGTTTTGGAGCTTATTTTCTGAAAACAGCAAACTTGCTAACATTGACTTCCCTTCTCTTTCTCCCCCCCCCCCCCCCCCCGTGGATGAATGGCCCATATGGAGATCAGCTGGCTGATCAGGTGTGAGAGGACCAGAAACCCTGGTCTGGGAGTCGGCGCTGGTTTCTTCATCGAGAAGTA